TTTTAAAATATTTGGGATGTCATCGTCAATACAGAAACATAAGCATAAACAGAACTTACATTCATTTACACTAGGGATCTACATCTCTTTTAAATCTCTCAGTGTAATGTAACTTCATATCGACATCTGTGATAGAAAAATAAGGGGTGGGTCAGGTTGGGAAACCCGGTGAGTAACATAGGGTTTTCAACCCACAATAATATAATTATTATGTTTAAACATCAAATAATCAACCCAATTACCCATCCCCATTATCTTCTTTACTCTTAAGGATCTACCCTAAGAATCAAATATTCCTCGTTCATTCATTCCTAAGGATCATCCTAAGGAATCGGCACGAAGTCCATCGTCACTGGGGTTTAGGCACTAAGTCTGCATAGTCGCCAGGATTTATACAACAGGCACTAAGTCCGCCTAGTCGCCAGGGTTTAGGCATTAAGTCTGCATAGTCGCCAGGGTTTATACAACAGACACTAAGTCCGCATAGTCGCAAGGGTTTTGGCACTAAGTCTGCATAGTCACCAGGGTTTATACAACAGACACTAAGTCCGCATAGTCATCAGGGTTTTGGCACTAAGTCTGCATAGTCGCCAGGGTTTATACAACAGGCACTAAGTCTGCATAGTCGCCAGAGTTTTGGCACCAAGTCTGCATGATCGCCAAGGTTTAGAGTACACACGGGTGAAACACATCGTTCACAACACCTACAGGTTGCGAGCCTGCTAGTGTTCCACTGGGCTGTCTAGAATAGTCCGTGGTTGTCATCCATACTCTGCTAGATGACGGGACCAGCATTTGGGAACAAGGCTTCTCACATCGTCCACCTCTCACCCTTACCTCATGGTCTATATTACCTCTCAACTTATCGTCCAAATCATATTTCATCTACCCATGTTTTACCCAACATATTATGTAGATATAAATACATATACAGTTTAAATCATATAAAACTCGTATAAAATCGTTCATCCAGCATAGATAGCAAGTATACAGATAATATGCACACATAGCACGTAGTTTATATAAAATACTTCATATCTATGTGTAAGATGAAAGTAACTATGCACTCACCTGGTAAGGTGGTGACTCGGTACTCGGACAGCACTTCGTTATCTCAAAACAATTTTCCCTTGAAAAAACCTAGTATCAATACCACTAGGGTTTAGTCTAACGTTAACTGCGACTAATTAATAGTCTAGCTATTATTACTATTATATAAGCGTTAAGTAACACTCTTATATAACTCATAATAATAGCCCATATATTTATTATAAGGTCCTAATAACATTACTATATTTAAACATAAGCTATACTTAAGGTAGGGTAAACATATCTCACTTACCAGGGGTTTCGCTAGGAGTCGGGCTCTGCAGGGGCAGAACTTCCGAGCCGAAAGCTCTTCTTCTCGGAGCCTTCCGGCACTCCGGGACTCGCCTCTAACACCTAGGAGGTGCTAGGGAAGGGGGAAGAGGGTGTGGGGGTAATGGGAGAGAAAAAGTATGAAAGGTGTGAGTTTTTGGGGTGATTTACGCCTCTATTTATAGGCTGTATGGGCCAATTCACGTCGTGAGAAAGGGTGCTCACGTCGTGAGCCTTGCATAGGCTCCAAGGCGAAGTCTGGTGCTGACACGTGGCGCCGGACGCAGGTAAAACATCAAATCTTTAAAAATTCATAACTTTTGCATACGAACTCCGTTTTTGACGTTCTTTATATCCACGCGTAGGTAAAGACAAGATCTACAACTTTCCTTTTGACTCCATCGGCTAATTCTCGACCGATTTAAATTTAATAGTATGAGAAGATTACACTGTTAAATGTCCGCGTAAAATTCGTAACTTCTTCATACAGACTCCGTTTTCGTCTGTCTTTTTATCGTTGAGTTCCTATTAATGAGATCTTCAAATCTCATTTAGGTCGCGTAAGCCAAAAACCGCTCGAACTAAAATTCGAGTTTCGGGCTGTGCACTGCTAAGCCAAATCTTAGAAAATTCATAACTTCCTCATACGAAGTCAGATTTGGGCGTTCTTTTTTTGTATGTTCTCGGTTTAACGTATACTACAGCTTTCATTTAGATCACTAAGGCTAAAAAGTCCTCCATCGTAATTTCACTATTTACGTCTCTCGGTGCCGTGCCGGTTTTGCCGTAAAACTTCGACGAGCCATAACTTCTTCGTTATAACTCGGATTTCGGTGTTCTTTATATGTACGGAACCCTTGTAACATATACTACCATTTGGTTAAGATTATTCCTTCTAAATAATCTTCCATCAAAAACTCGTTTTTGATGCTCACTGTCTCTAAATTGACTAGCCCGGATCTGCGGGCGTTACAAATACGCATGGCGGTAGCCGGACGTCGAAGGAAGGAAGGTGGAGTGGGGGTGGCGTCGCTGACGGAGAAAGGTGTTGCAGTTCGACCGGTCCAAGGAAGTGGCGGTGATCGTCGGTTCCGGCGAAGCTAGGAGGTGGCGGCCGGAAGCTTAGAGGTATAAGGTGGCGGCTGCACTCTTGTGTTAGGGTTAGGGTTACGTAGGACTTATATACTCCCGCTCCATTCAATCTTTGTCCCATAATGACACTATTAGTCCCTTCCTTTCCCTTTCATTTCAAACTAAGTCCATATTTTACCCTTTCTACCCTGACTTCGGAAATTCCCTTGCAAAACCAGTCCAAAATTTACCTTTTTAACCCAGCCTCCTGAAATCCTTTACAAATTAAGTCTAATACTTACCATACAACCCCTTAGCCTCCAAAATCTTTTCAAAATAAATCCCAAAATTACTTTTTAACCCCCGAATAATCCGATTTATAACATTTGGTTCTGCAAAACCAACACCCCACTAAATAATATGGATTTAGGGCGACTATTCGTTTATCAATTTTATCTATTTATTTATTTAATAAACAGGATGTTACATATCACAATCCACATAATCATATTTCTCTACACGTGAGACACACTTCAAAATATTATGTTAGGATGGGAAGCTTAATGAGATACATAAGGTTTAGGACTCATAATAACCTATACAACTTTACTTCTTTTATAACAACTTCTTAAAATAAATAGGCTATTTAACAACATAGGATTCAACATATTTGGATGCATATAAATAAATACATCATCCCAAGTCCTTGTACAACTTAATTTCTTCGCTCATAACAACAACGTGGTGGCATGTCGCGGGGTGACCTTTCATTGTCTCCCTCTTACGAGTAGCTCAAGGTGACACTATTCATAAGTATACCAAGGTGTTGCCGTGTTGGTTCAACATTAATAATGTAAATGAATTCGTAATATTTTGTTCACTCTTTCTTATAACATATGCTTGTAGATTAACTTCTTATTTTCAATAAGTTTCTTCTATTTTTTATAGTATTTTGTTACTTTCTAGTGAATTTTTGCCAAAAATATATTCCTAAAAAGTAAAAAAAAAACATTAATCTTGACATTTTAGTGATGCATAACATATACATTTTCAACTGCTTAATATAACAAACTATTTTCTTTTACCATCATATTCCGATAAAACAAAGGCATTGTATGTTTGTTAAGTTACAGAATAAAATTTACATAAAATATGATTGCAAGATGTGCTACATTACCTATAAAAAAAGGTTACAAACAAGTAAATCAAAACATTAAAAACTTACGAAATAATAACCAAATTATCGGAAAAAAAATCTTTAGATTTTTGTAGATCCATTGCCTGCGAAAATCTACTACCAATAGCTACGGGGTGTAATTTTCGGGTATACAAATAAAATATGTAGATAATGATAAATAACTAATCAATTTAGGTAGATGCAACCATCGTTTTCATAGAGAATTTGTTGGGTATTTGCAAAACAGTTGTGTAAAAATGAGATATGAAAAAATTTGGTTTATATATTGGTAGAAAAACGAATTGGTCTGTCGTTCTTTCAAATTTTCGAAAAACAAATTGGTCGGTGGTTCTTTCAAATTTTCGCAGACCAAATGGTTTTTCGCAGTCAACAAAGGGAAATCGCAGACCACCATAATTTTAGTAGGCGATGACTAGTGAAAATTATAGCTATTTTGAAAAAAAAAATGATTTAACTATTTCTTAGAAAAATCTTTAAATAACCAGCTATTATGGTCATTTTTTAAAAAATAAAATAAATCTTGATTTTTATATTTTTAGGCACTTTTTAATATATTAACGCGTTTGGGGTAAAATTAAATAAAGAATACAAATTGTTTTGAAAATCAGAAAGACGTTCGCAGAAATTTCCATAACGAAATTTTTATAGGGGCACACGCACACAGAGCATAACTTAACAGCCTTTGTTTCGATCCAACAATTGAAGGTTTATCCGTCGCCACCACTGTTCAACGGTGATCTTCTCCGGCTTATTCTAACATACACGGACTATTAACTTCTGCAGGTAATCAATCTTCGCTTATATAAGTTGTTTGCTTTGATCACGATATGTGTTGATTTTAGCCAATTTTCTATTTCGATAAGACGAGCCTCTTTCTGTTCTTATTTAATATGATCGTTGGATATTTTCTTGTTTTTCTTTCGATTATTGATCGAGCTATATGAAGTTTTCTTAACCTGTACAAAGCTTTTCCATACAAGATGACTAGGTCTTCAATTTTCGGCTTAATTCAATCTAATTGCACCAAGAACTGATGAAAGAAGATCGTAACTTTAGTTAGGGCTCTTAATGGATATCAAATTCTCTCTAATTGCATTACACTAACAAAAAGTAATTTATTGAAATTTTAAGCTACGGAAACTAGAGAAATTTCTTAGAGCTGCCATTTATAACGGTTTTAAAAGCAATCAAAGCTCAGAATCCATACTAATAACATTAACATGTAATTTCACAAAAACCAATAGATTTCTTACTTTTTTATTCATTGGGATTTCTCATTTCTATATGTTCTTGAGTTTTCAACTTTGGGTATTGAACAAAAACCAATAGATTTCTTACTTGTATTCATCTTGATTTCTAGGTGTGTATCAAAATGGACACAGCACATGACTCTGAATGGAATGCAGCACAGAGTATCTTTATCAGTGAAGATCTTTTGGCTGCTGCTAAACTTCAGCTGCAATTTCTTGCAGTTGTAGACAGAAACCGTTGGCTTTATGAAGGCCAAACATTGCAATGGGCAATCTATAGGTAACTCAACTAATTATTACTTTTTTAGTAACAAAAACTTATAATTTAATGACAAAAAAAAAAACTATTTAAAACTAATTTATAACAATGTAATGTTACCGTTCCCATTGCTTGCTACAACATCACTTGCTAACATCAGAGTCTAAAAAACTGAAGGACCTTTAGTTGTTCCTCTTGATTGTGAATGGATTTGGCATTGTCACAGACTTAATCCGGTATATATGATTATCAAACAAAATTCTCATTTTTCCAATGATAATTTCTGTAAAAAAACTTTATGTTCTTGATATATTTTTTTACAGGTTAGATACAAATCAGATTGTGAAGAATTCTACGGAAGGATTCTTGACAACTCTAATGTTGCTTCTATCAATCAAGAAACATCAAGAAAGGAAACAGAAGAAACATGGAACAAATTATACCCTAATGAACCCTATGAGTATGACATGTCACGTGAATTTTCAGAAACTTTATATAATGGAGAAACTCAAAGCTTTTCAAAATATGATTTTGTTTTAGCTGTTGAAAGACAAAGCCCATTCTTTTACCAGGTAAAGATTACTATAAATAACTTTTTTTTTTTTTGCAGAATTGTTTGAAACCCTACTTTTTGTGACAGGTGTCAAGGCCTCATTTCAAGAAAGATCTTTTCCTTCAAGAAGCTGTAGCAAGATACAAAGGTTTTCTACATCTCATAAGGAGAAACAGGGAAAGATCATTGAAACGTTTTTGTGTTCCAACTTATGATGTTGACTTAATTTGGCATACACACCAGTTACACCCTCTTTCCTACTGTAAAGATATGGTGGAATTACTCGGGAAGATTCTAGAACATGATGACACAGATCAAAACAGATCAAAAGGTCAGAAATTGGACACAGGGTTTTCTGATACAACAAAACAATGGGAGGAAACATTTGGGTTAAGATATTGGAGAGCAGGGGCAATGTATAGAGGCGGTGCTCCTTCTCCAATCACCACCACTCCTTGCATACCTGACCCCACCACCCCTACCCCTAGTGGTGATGCTGACTCAGCAAATGGGCTTCAAAGGTTGATTCATCTTCCTAAAACAAATTACATCGAGGTAATTCATGTAACTGATTTTTTTTCTTTAATAGAAAGAAATGAAAGTAAGATGAAATGTGTTTGCTTTGTTTCAGATTCTTTTAGAGTTTGTAGAAATCAAGAACTTACCAGAAACAGAAAAGGGAAAAGTGAATGTGATATTTAGTAAATCACATTCAGATGGAATTTTCAATTCTAAAAAGAAACTCACAATCCAATCTGAATCGGGTCAAAAACAGGTTGCCATATTTCAATGTGAACCAAATGGATATTTATTGTTTGAACATTTGTCCACATCAAAAAAACCGAATTCTTTAGGTTCTTGTTTTATCTCTTTGGAAGAATTTCATGGGAAAGTTTCAGTGGAAAAATGGTTGGATTTGGATTTGAATTTGGTTGGATCTGAACCGATTCAGTTGAAAGTTGCAGCCTCGTGTACATTTCCAATTCTAGCCCCACATGTTGTTCAGATGTTGTTACATTCTTCTCCTTTTCAAAAAAGTTGTTACTCTTTTTCATGTGTGACACGATTTCACAAGAATTGGATGTGGATTGTGGATGCATATGGTGATGAGATCATTAGGCTTCAATTGAGGTAATTTTTCTTTTAACCTTTGACAAATTTAACATATGTTTAATCTTGTTGTGGGTCGTAATGAAGATAAGACTATTTAAAAAGTTTTTCTAAATTGTTTTGGTCTTGACAGGGACATGAAAAAAACAAAAGGTAGGGAGATAGTTGGCTTCACAAGAGCAGAAGAAACACTTGTTGTAGGTCAATTTCTAGGGCAAAAGTGGTCTCTCATGGATTCTTTATGGTCTCTTACGTTTCCCGAAACAAAAGATTCACACTTCCTTCTCACTGGCCCACACATGGTGAGACCATCACTTGTTTCTATATTTAATCCTTTTTTTCTCACATAGAACAGAACAGGTTGTACTGCTTTTGACGTGACTGTGACCGATGTCAATGTCAGAAATTGTAACTTTTTGTCCCACCAAAAAAGGTGGAACAAGGCGTGACAGGGACCCGCTCTCGATCTCTCGTATGTACAAAAGACGTAAATGCCCTCCTCATCCTGATTATCGAAAATAGCCCTGGAAAGCTTGTAGTATGACGTCCAATCCAACAAAAAACGCAGCCTACGGCTGCGTTAGTTACGGGAGGCGACTGCACTAGACAAGCTTTCCAGGGTTATTTTCGATAACCAGGATGAGGAGGGCATTTACGTCTTTTGTACATACGAGGGACCGAGAGTGGGTCCCTGTCACGCCTTGTTCCACCTTTTTTGGTGGGACAAAAAGTTACAATTTCTGACATTGACATCAGTCACAGTCATGTCAAAAGCAAAAGCAGTACAACCTGTTCTGTATTGTCGGCCTTTGGTCCATGTTCACATGTTTTTATGTTTGGGCATATTAGTAATGACTATTTTTATTATGATAAAAGGTGAAACTAGTTTATGGTAGAAAGCTGGATTATGAACCGAAACACAATAATGATAAACGAACAAAGGAAAACGATTTCATGACAGCAGTCGAGTTCTCTGCGGAGTACCCATACGGGAAAGCAGTAGCAATGTTTGACCTAAAATCTGGAGTTTTGATGGTAATTTCGTCTTTTCATTCATATAGGTTTTTTTTTTAACTAATCGTTACTTACTATATAATATGTTGACTAATTGGTCTTGTTTATTTTATATCAACAGTTGCAAGAAGAATGGTTTGCATTGCCGGGAATGTTGTCGGCATTTATCGTGTGTAAAGGAAGGACATAATGGTCTTTTATTATGACTTTTAGGGACATGGATGTACAGAAAAGAGTTTGAAACAATAAGCAGTGGGGTACATAAAGTTTGATCAAAATTTGTTTGAATTGTATTTTCTTTTGTAAATAACTGAAGTTTAAAACTAACATGTGAAGATCTACGTACTAGTAATTAAAAATAAATCCATCAATAAACAATAGAAGTTAGATCCGGTGATGTTTAATAATTTTAAACAATTTCCTAATATGCTAGCTAAGTGAAGCCGAACTGTTTTAATTCTCGAAGAGGATTGACAAGTACTTGAGATTTTATGAAATATAAGATAGTTTTTCAAAGAACCAACAACCTATTTACAAGGTGTTTATTACGTATTACTTGCCTAGTTCTCAATCCAAATTATTTAATGAAAAATATTAAAAGAATACAAGTTGTCATATTACATGTTTTCTATATATGGTTTGTCAAACAAAGAAAAATTTATGGAGTTGCCTTCATATTTTATTTGCATCGCCGCTTTAAACCTACTAAAAACGTTGATGGCGTACAAACTTTAATCGTACAAATTTTCGACAATTTTGGTTTAACTCAAAAGAACCCAATTTTGCCTGAAATCAAGTTGCTACTTTAAAAAAAATTAAATTAAATTAAAAGTATTTCATATGTATTCGACCAAATATGGTCAACAAAGTAATCCGGTAAATGATATTTTGAAGAGATGCAACGATAGGTGAATCATATGATTTCACACTTTTTAGCCCTGAAATATATATCTTGGTAGAAATAATATAAATATATAGTATTTAAAATCAAATATAATATAAATATATAGTATTTGGTTGGAGTTCAGTTGAAAAAACTTTCGATAATATATTTGTATCGGATCAAACATTTCCGGCCCAAATCCGGATCGGATACAATCCACTAATCCAACCCATGTACACCTCTGTTTGACGTCACTGATTTCGAATATAAAGGCAAGTTGGACCCCAGTTTGGCCCATGTCACTTTTCCATCACCTTACTCCGTGTCGGCTAATATAAGTCAAAAGGGAGATTTACGACAAAGATACTTGACAAATGACAACACTAACATATAGTGTTGGCCCATGTCACCTTTTTTTTTTTCCTTCATATATTTTTAATTATATACGTAAATAAAAGGTTTTTTTTTATTCACATGCTTATGTTCTTATGTTAAACCAATTATAAAAGAAAAATCTTTAAAAATTACCATTTTATACCCTTTAGTGTAAGAAAATAACCAAAAAACAAGTTTTCGAAAATGACCATGTAGTCCGCAGAGGGCCTTCTGCGGACTACTGCTACGGACTCAACTTTAAATCAAACTTTAGGGGTATTTTGGTAACATACAACAAATATGCATTACTATCAATGAGTCTGCAATATTCTATCTCTGACTCGTCTGCGTACTCATCAGTATGGTTATAAAATTTGGAAACAATAATTTAATTTTTTATTTTTATGCAAAAAAAATTGTTTCCAAGTAAATTGAAATATTTAAAATATTCTTTTATTCTTTATATTAGTAGGTTTATGATTTTGATCTATGATTCAATTATATAATCCAAAATATTATATTCAATGATTTAAAATTTTATTACCAAAATTTTATGAACCAAATCTATAGTAAAGTGTTTATTTGGTTTGGATATGATTTGATCAAAAGATGATCCAAAATGTTTTTATTCTAATTTTTGATCTAAAATATTATAAATCAAAATCGTATGATTTAAATTTTGTTATGATCTAAAATATTATAAACTAAATTGTATTATGAAACAAAGTTATATAAAAGTTTAAAGAAAAATAATACTTTTTTTTATGAAAATAAAAAAAATAAAAGAAAACTAATATTTCTTAATACTAGAGTTTGGTATCAAAATCAATATAATATTTCTTAACAGGGGTGGTCGTATGTGGCCTCAAGCGGTGCAAAATAACACTTAATCGACGGTGGAGTGTAGTGTCATCGAAGTTCAATCGAGAGAGAAATAGAACGTAGATGAGGGACACACCGACCACTGACTAGGAAGGGGATTAATCCTCCAAGGCTATTAACGGCGAAAGGCAAGAAATCACGGCGATGAGAAAGAAATAGTGGCAATGATTTAGAGGGTATAAGTCTGATTTAGAGCGAATAAGTCCGCTGTGCTTTTTCAAGTATTAGCGGTGACACTCAATATAGGAAACCCATTTGTAGTCATTGGATTGATCAACTAATCGATGGACAAGGGCATTGTTACAGTTTCACGCGTATTGGGGTCTAAACGCTATAGCGACGACAACCACTATTAGCGGCAACACCAAACGCATATATTTGGTGTCACCGCTACTAGTGGTTGTCACCGCTATTGCCTGTTTTTCTTGTAGTGAAAGTTCATTGTCATTCTTATTAGTTAGATAATGATAATGATTAAGAAATGAATGGAAGACAACTTTTAAGAAAAAAAAAGATGGGTTATATGAGTGGTTAGTAATGCTTTTATTTTGGCTTGTCAAATGCCTTTGAGTGCTTTAAGGTGTTTGATAACCTACATATTTCACTTATTTATGGGAAAAAATGGTGGTTATTTTGATGATATCATCTACATTCATACGAAGAAGGAACTCTTAGACCATTTATATGTTGCATTTCACACCTATAATAAGATGTATGTCGACCTAACGAAGTGTATGTTTTTGGCTAACCCATTTCTTTTTACCGGCTATATTGTAACTTCTAAAGGGATTAACATGGATAATTTACAAATTAATGGATATTAGATACATGCCTTCACTTCACCTAAGAGAAAATCATTGAGGTTCATAACCTCCATAGACTAGCCACATTCTATAGAAGGTTTTTCAGAAATTTAAATAACATTAGTGCTCCGATCACAAACTGCATGAAGAATGAGCCATTTAGATAACCGAATGAGGCATAAAATTGTAACACCTGCATCCAAGTATTTCCCATTTTTGCCGTCAATATGAAATTTATTTGCAAAATTGGTCCATTGGCTCCTTAAGTGGAAATCGTGTGTGTGCCTAGTACGCCAAGTGTACTCCAACTTACGCCGGGCGTAAGTAGCTGAGGGTCAAACCCTAATTTTTAGGGTTTAAACCCTATTAAGCATCATTGTATTTCCTAAACCTCTTCCCTCATTAGCCTCCATTGTGACAACCCGAAATTTCTATCTTATAAAGTCAATCAATTCAATCAAAAGTCAGACTTGTTTCTGTTATCTTTTTGCCTTGTTAAGGGTCTATTTGAGAGTTTCTAAGCCTAGTACACTTAATGATTATGTGTTAGGAAGTGTTAGCTTGAGTTCTTAGAGTTGCAATCAAGCCGAAAACATCATAAAAAAGGAGTTCATGGCTGTGAACTCATTCTTGGCCGTGAACAATCCTCCATATATATGAAATGGCTCATTTTCTTCACTTATTCAACTCTAGCCGTGAACCCACCCCATTCTCTCTCAACTTTCTTCAACCGTGAACACTCCAAAAACTTCCAAAAAGTAAGTAACTCATCCCTTACTTTTTCATACCTAGAAACACTTGATTTCACACATGAAACAAGTACCAAAATGAAAGATCTTCAAGAGTTCACGGCCGTGAACCCTTCATAGATGCATGATAGGACCGTGAACCCTCCTTCCTTGGCCGCAAACCCTTCATAAGATCAAGGTTGGGCCGTGAAAACATCATGTGTTCTATGGCCGTGAACCCTTGTAAGGTCGTGAACACTTCTTGTGTGGCAGTGAACCCCATTCAATCAATCATATGTGATTCTAACACTCCATTAAGAGTGTTTCCTAGTGCCTAAGATTGTTTCCTTAGCATATTAGTTGTTTTATCCACTAATTATATGCATATATGTGTCATTATATGCTTAATAGGATCCGTTTGTGCTCAAGACTTCACTTGGCATACTTAGCATCCTATATCGATCTTTCATTCGAATCACTCACTACAGATGAGTTCATACCCCTAAACTTATCTTGTAATGATTTTAAATGCTTTTATGGGGGGGGGGGGGGAATACAAGTAGAAAACAATATAGTTATAGTATCAATCACATGTGATTTATAACTATCAAACCAAGAGATTTCCTTATACTTCAAAACTGTGTTACCAAACAAACTGTTTCAAATCATTTTATAAATTGACATCAAGTCATCAATAATCATTCAAATGGTTAAAACTCTTTTTATATGATAAACTCTTTAAATGTTTTAAAAAACTCTTTTAAACTTATATATTGTCAAAATCATGTCTATATAAATATAGTTATATAAATAAGGTTTAAAGGGCTTAGGAGTGATAATTCGCTTTATTTCATTTTCCTTGTTTGGATGTGGACTTAGGGTATCGGTTGTTTGTCCGATTATCGTTTAAATCTTAGTTATATATTATGTATATGTATGTAGATATAAAAGTACTTCCAATCAGTTCAATACCTTTGAGTAGCAAAGGTGTACAAAGATGATCAGTCATTCAATTACAGAGCTTACTAGTAAACTATAATATGTATAGTTTAGGAGGTTACTACTTACTATTTCTAGAACAATGAAACTTACATGAATCAATACTTACATGAGTTAGTTCTTACATGAGTCAGTTCATACACAAGTCAGTTCAAACATACTATAACTAGAACAGGAAGAAACATACTAAAACTAGAACAGAAACGAACATATAAAAACAAAAACATAAAGGAACATACAATAACAAGAACAGGAAAGAACATACATCCTTTTACAAGAACAAGATAACATTAATGTGAAACCACTACTTCACGGCATAGCAATATACTTGTTATGTCAAGTTTTGTAACCAGAGTCTCCTGGAGGGAGAGCGGGCATTGTGTGTATAGATCTATACGGGACTGACAATCATACATCCTAACTGTTAGCTACAGTCCGGCAGACAAGCCAAGGGGTGACAAATGTCACATCAGTTTCGACACCAACAGGTCGTCATGTTAAGCACTCGCCAATCAGTATGGTTATAACCACATCACATTTTAACCTTAATTAACAAATTGGTTTTAAGGTAGTTAGTGCTTCAGTAGTTACTTTATACAACATTACTGTACACTTTCATTTTTCCCATTACATTCATATAGTGATATTCTCACATAAAAGGTAATGTAAGCTATTTTCTAGTAATGATAGTCATATACT